ATGCTAAATTCCTCTTGATGTGCACATTCTTTTTGTTAAGGCGCTCTTCTTCTTACACCTCCAACCCGGCTTATATATAAGCTCCTAGCTTGGCAGTGTCTCATTCTTCACCTGAAGACGGCTGCTTGCGTTGTAGCCGAAACGTCGTGAGAATTATTTTATTATGTTTTATTTTTATTATTTTGTTACTTCCCTTCTACGTGACGACTTTACCGAAAACACCAAGAAGACGAATCCCTGCAGTCACGAAAGCTTTAAGTCGAAATCTTTGTCTTTGTTTGATGATGTTGGTGATGGTGGTGATGGTGGTGACGATGATGATGATGGTGGTGATAGTGGTAACGATGTTGGTGATGGTGGTAACGATGATGATGATGGTGGTAACGATGATGATGTTGGTGATGGTGGTGATGGTGGTAACGATGATGATGATGATGATGGTGGTGATGGTGGTAACGATGATGATGTTGGTGATGGTGGTGATGGTGGTAACGATGATGATGATGGTGATGGGGCTGTGTAAAATATCGCGATGGGAGTCGAAACACATTATATATAGAAAAACGGATTGTACACACACACAGATGATTATTATATTTAAATATAAACTGTGAGCTTATACATAGCGACGAGTGTGTTTACATGGCTCATAGCGGTGCCAAATCTGCGCTGGGGGTCTAGGATGGCTGGTTGCGATCAATAAAATTATCGGCCAAGGTTGTAGAGATCGATCTCTCGTCTCTGGATGTGTCTTGATAAAGGGGGCTGCTGCTGCTGCTCCTGCTGAAGGGCTATAGAACGAAACGTCGACTGTGGTGTACGTGCAAGGATCATGTGAGGTGCGTGGGTGGCTACTCACATGGGACGTGGGTGGGTGGGTGAGTGGGTGGGTGAGTAGGTGAGTGGGTGAGTGGGTGGGTGGGTTGGTGGGTGAGTGAATGGGTGTGTGGGTGGGTCGGTGAGTGAATGAGTGAGTGGGTTGGTGAGTGAGTGGGTGAGTGAGTGAGTGATTGAATGGGTGAGTGAGCGGGTGTGTGGGTGAGTGAGTGAGTGGGTGAGTGAATGGGTGGGTGGGTTGGTGGGTGAGTGAGTGGGTGAGTGAATGGGTGTGTGGGTGGGTGAGTTAGTGGGTGAGTGAATGGGTGGGTGGGTGGGTTGGTGGGTGAGTGAGTGGGTGAATGAGTGGGTGAATGAGTGAGTGAGTGGGTGAGTGAGTGATTGAATGGGTGAGTGAGTGTGTGGGTGAGTGAGTGAGTGAGTGGGTGAATGAATGGGTGGGTTGGTGGGTGAGTGAGTGGGTGAATGAGTGTGTGGGTGGGTGAGTTAGTGGGTGAGTGAATGGGTGGGTGGGTTGGCATCTATGACGTCTCCTGGCCAAAACCCATTTGGCGGAGCCAGGAGACTGAATCCTTACCCTCAGGGCTCCTCCAGAAACAACAAAAAACCACTGCGGATGGCCACGTGGAATGTTCGAACGCTCACTGCGGAGGAGAGGCTGCCACTCCTCTGTCGGGAGCTGGACCGGTACCGCCTATATCTCTGTGGCATTCAGGAGGTCCGGTGGACCGGTTCTGGCTCCTGCCACCATGAGGGGTGGACAGTCCTCTATTCGGGGCAGGAGACTGCCAAACAACAGGGAGTGGCTTTTCTTCTGAACAAAAGAATGGATGGGGCGTGGGAGCGTGGCGGTGAGGTGTGGGAAGCTGTAAGCCCCAGGCTACTTTGGGCTCGCCTTCCCATGAACCGGAGGCAAGGAGTGGTGGTTGTGGTTACTTATGTTACTTACAAACATCCGTGGAGGGATGCAGGCAAGGCCGATGAGTCAGATGCCTTCAATGACCTCCTGTCACAGGTGCTAGCTAAAGTGGCCGCTTGGGATAGAGTCATCCTGTTGGGCGACTTCAATGCCCGAGTTGGTCATGATGCTGGCACCTGGTCTGGAGTGATTGGAAGGCATGGGCCAGATCAGCTCAATAACAACGGTAGGAGGCTGCTAGATTTTTGTGCAGCCCATGGGCTTGTAATTACCAACACGCTGTTCAGGCATCGGCGCATCCACACAACATCATGGATGCATGCCGGGTCCAAGCAAGAACATCTGCTGGACTACGTAGTGACGGAACAACTGACCAAAGTGGGGATATTTGAGGCTGGGGTGCCTCAGTCGAGCGGCATTATTTTTTCATCGGTTGCGTAACGCTGTGTGGAAGCTACCTGGTCTGTCACTCCGCACGAAGCTTCAGGTTTTCTCGGCCACGGTCATTCCCTCCCTTCTCTACGCTTGCGAAACGTGGACCCCCCTAATGGAACATCTTCGCTGGTTAGAAACATTTAGGCTGGCCTGCCTACGATCCATCCTGGGTTTAACCAGGTTGGATTGTGTGAGGAGCTCACAAATCCTTGAAAGATCTGAACAAAGTCCCATCGGTGAGCTCCTCCGGCAGGCAAGGCTGCGTTGGCTGGGCCATGTAGCCCGCATGCCCAGCCACCGCATGCCTAAACAGCTTTTGTTCGGCCGGATCGAGGGGGCGAAACGGGCGCGGCACGGGCTAGAGAAGAGATGGAGTGATGTGGTACAGGAGGACGTGGAGCTGAGTGGACTTGCCGATGACCGGTACCAGCGGTGTCAAGATCGGCCTCTGTGGAGGAGGCTCATGAAGGACGCTACTGGGCAGTTGGAGGCAGTCGCCCTCCAACAACAACGGAGGGCGGAGGAGCGACGCTCACAACAACGAGCGGAGCGCCGGGTGGCTAAAGCACATCAAGTTGGCACAGTAGGGGGCACAGGTGGTGCATCAGCCAGTCATCTCGGTCATCTCGGTCAGTCGACCCGTGGCACCTGCTGGGTCTGCCCCGTGACCTCCTGCTCATGCACCTAGCCTGGCACAGCAGTACAACCCATGGCACCTGCTGGGTCTGCCCCTGACCTCCTCCTCATGCACCTAGCCTGGCACAGCAGTCAACCCGTGGCACCTGCTGGGTCTGCCCCGTGACCTCCTCCTCATGCACCTAGCCTGGCACAGCAGTACAACCCATGGCACCTGCTGGGTCTGCCCCGTGACCTCCTCCTCATGCACCTAGCCTGGCACAGCAGTACAACCCGTGGCACCTGCTGGGTCTGTCACGTGACCTCATGCACCTAGCCTGGCACAGCAGTACAACCCGTGGCACCTGCTGGGTCTGTCACGTGACCTCCTCCTCATGCACCTAGCCTGGCACAGCAGTACAACCCGTGGCACCTGCTGGGTCTGCCCCGTGACCTCCTCCTCATGCACCTAGCCTGGCACAGCAGTACAACCCGTGGCACCTGCTGGGTCTGCCACGTGACCTCCTCCTCATGCACCTAGCCTGGCACAGCAGTACAACCCGTGGCACCTGCTGGGTCTGCCCCGTGACCTCCTCCTCATGCACCTAGCCTGGCACAGCAGTACAACCCGTGGCACCTGCTGGGTCTGCCACGTGACCTCCTCCTCATGCACCTAGCCTGGCACAGCAGTACAACCCGTGGCACCTGCTGGGTCTGCCCCGTGACCTCCTCCTCATGCACCTAGCCTGGCACAGCAGTACAACCCGTGGCACCTGCTGGGTCTGCCACGTGACCTCCTCCTCATGCACCTAGCCTGGCACAGCAGTACAACCCGTGGCACCTGCTGGGTCTGCCCCGTGACCTCCTCCTCATGCACCTAGCCTGGCACAGCAGTACAACCCGTGGCACCTGCTGGGTCTGCCACGTGACCTCCTCCTCATGCACCTAGCCTGGCACAGCAGTACAACCCGTGGCACCTGCTGGGTCTGCCACGTGACCTCCTCCTCATGCACCTAGCCTGGCACAGCAGTACAACCCGTGGCACCTGCTGGGTCTGCCCCGTGACCTCCTGCCAGCGGGCGATCGACACTTCACGTGGCAGCCTCAAGGTGCACCTAGCCTGGCACAAGCGTCGTGGTGACGTCACCGCCGCTGAGTGGCGAATGGCGGTTGTTGTTATTGGAGGTTCATACGATGTGACGTCACCACGCAACGTGTGCGTGACGTCACCACGCAGAATGTGTGTGAGGTATCTTCGAGCCTACGCGGTGACGTAATCACGCAGGAGGTGCGTGACGTCACCACGCAGGGTGTTTGTGGTGATGCGGTGGGGGGGGAAGGCGTGCGGAGACGTCACCACGCAGTGTGTGCGTGACGTCACCACGCAGGGTGTGCGCGAGGGGTAGGCGAGCTTACGCGGTGACGTCACCACGCAGGGTGTGCGTGAGGTGAGCCAACGCGGTGACGTCACCACGCAGGATGTGCGTGACGTCACCACGCAGGGTATGCGTGACGTCACCACGCAGGGTGTGCGTGAGGGTGAGCGAGCTTACGCGGTGACGTCACCACGCAGGGTGTGCATGACGTCACCACGCAGGGTGTGCGTGACGTCACCACGCAGGGTGTGCGTGAGGTGAGCCAACGCGGTGACGTCACCACGCAGGGTGTGCGTGAGGGGTGGGCGAGCTTACGCGGTGACGTCACCACGCAGCGTGTGCGTGACGTCACCACGCAGGGTGTGCGTGAGGTGAGTCAACGCGGTGACGTCACCACGCAACCCTCCCCCCCCTCCCCACTTTAAAATGGCGGCGCTCGCCGAGGTTGGAGTCAGGAGGCGTTTCGACAGCGGCGATGTTAACGTGACGTCACCACGCAGCGTGTGCGTGACGTCACCACGCAGCGTGTGCGTGACGTCACCACGCAGAATGTGCGTGAGGGGTGGGCGAGCTTACGCGGTGACGTCACCACGCAGCGTGTGCGTGAGGTGAGCCAACGCGGTGACGTCACCACGCAGCGTGTGCGTGACGTCACCACGCAGGGTGTGCTTGAGGTGAGCCAACGCGGTGACGTCACCACGCAGCGTGTGCGTGAGGTTAGCCAACGCGGTGACGTCACCACGCAGGGTGTGCGTGAGGTGAGTGAGTCAACGCGGTGACGTCACCACGCAGCGTGACGTCACCACGCAACCCTCCCCCCCTCCCTACTTTAAAATGGCGGCGCTCGCCTAGGTTGGAGTCAGGAGGCGATGTTAACGCTCGGACGGGACCGTCCCGTGAGTTTCCCTTCCCCCCGTCACGGCCGTCTTTGTCTCTCTCTCTCTCCCTGCGCGCCTGTCTGGCCGCAGCAACGTTTTGTTGTTGGCGGGGGGGGCGAGGAGGTTGTTGTTGTTGTAGCAGCAGCAGCGCCAAGCCTTGAGGCCTTGCTGGTGGTTGTTAGTGGTGGGACTTGGCTCGCTAGGCCGCGACACTGAAACTCGCCCGGCAAGGCTCTATCCACTGCTAGACTGGCACTGATGATGGTGGTGGTGATGGTCTATACCCTGTGTGTGTCTACACGTGTCCTTCTGTGTGGTGTGGTCATCATCACTGGTCTCTCTACTGCTAGACTGACACTGTGGTGATGGTAGTGGTGGTGGTGTCTACCGTGTGTGTGTGTGTCTACACGTGTCCCTCTGTGTGTGTGTGTGTGTCTACACGTGTCCCTCTGTGTGTGTGTGTGTGTCTACACGTGTCCCTCTGTGTGTGTGTGTGTGTCTACACGTGTCTCTGTGTGTGTGTGTGTGTCTACACGTGTCCCTCTGTGTGTGTGTGTCTACACGTGTCTCTGTGTGTGTGTCTACACGTGTCTCTGTGTGTGTGTGTGTCTACACGTGTCCCTCTGTGTGTGTGTGTGTGTCTACACGTGTCTCTGTGTGTGTGTGTGTGTGTCTACACGTGTCCCTGTGTGTGTGTGTGTGTGTCTACACGTGTCCCTGTGTGTGTGTGTGTGTCTACACGTGTCCCTGTGTGTGTGTGTGTGTCTACACGTGTCCCTGTGTGTGTGTGTGTGTCTACACGTGTCCCTGTGTGTGTGTGTGTGTCTACACGTGTCCCTGTGTGTGTGTGTGTGTCTACACGTGTCCCTGTGTGTGTAGTGTGTGTCTACACGTGTCCCTGTGTGTGTCTACACGTGTCCCTGTGTGTGGTGTGTCTACACGTGTCCCTGTGTGTGTGTGTGTCTACACGTGTCCCTGTGTGTGTGTGTGTCTACACGTGTCCCTGTGTGTGTGTGTGTCTACACGTGTCCCTGTGGTGTGTGTGTGTCTACACGTGTCCCTGTGTGTGTGTGTGTCTGCACGTGTCCCTGTGTGTGTGTGTCTGCACGTGTCCCTGTGTGTGTGTGTGTCTGCACGTGTCCCTGTGTGTGTGTGTGTCTGCACGTGTCCCTGTGTGTGTGTGTGTCTACACGTGTCCCTGTGTGTGTGTGTGTCTACACGTGTCCCTGTGTGTGTGTGTGGTCTACACGTGTCCCTGTGTGTGTGTGTGTCTGCACGTGTCCCTGTGGTGTGTGTGTCTGCACGTGTCCCTGTGTGTGTGTGTGTCTGCACGTGTCCCTGTGTGTGTGTGTGTCTGCACGTGTCCCTGTGTGTGTGTGTCCTGCACGTGTCCCTGTGTGTGTGTGTGTCTGCACGTGTCCCTGGTGTGTTTGTGTGTGTGTCTGCACGTGGTCACCCTGTGTGTGTGTGTGTGTGTCTACACGTGTCCCTCTGTGTGTGTGTGTCTGCACGTGTCCCTGTGTGTGGTGGGCATCATCATCACCGTGGTCTCTACTGCTAGACTGGACACTGCTGGTGATGGTCTCTACCCTGTGTGTGTGTCTACACGTGTCTCTGTGTGTGTGTGGCTACACGTGTCTCTGTGTGTGTGTGTGTCTACACGTGTCTATGTGTGTGTGTGTCTACACGTGTCTCTGTGTGTGTGGTCTACACGTGTCTCTGTGTGTGTGTGTCTACACGTGTCTCTGTGTGTGTGTGTCTACACGTGTCTCTGTGTGTGTGTGTCTACACGTGTCTCTGTGTGTGTGTACGTGTCTCTGTGTGTGTGTGTACGTGTCTCTGTGTGTGTGTGTGTGGTCTACACGTGTCTCTGTGTGTGTGTGTGTGTCTACACGTGTCTCTGTGTGTGTGTGTGTGTCTACACGTGTCTCTGTGTGTGTGTGTCTACACGTGTCTCTGTGTGTGTGTGTGTCTACACGTGTCTCTGTGTGTGTGTGTGTCTACACGTGTCTCTGTGTGTGTGTGTCTAACACGTGTCTCTGTGTGTGTGTGTCTACACGTGTCTCTGTGTGTGGTGTGTGTCTACACGTTGTCTCTGTGTGTGTGTGTGTCTACACGTGTCTCTGTGTGTGTGTGTGTCTACACGTGTCTCTGTGTGTGTGTGTGTCTACACGTGTCTCTTGTGTGTGTGTGTGTCTACACGTGTCTCTGTGTGTGTGTGTGTCTACACGTGTCTCTGTGTGTGTGTGTCTACACGTGTCTCTGTGTGTGTGTGTCTACACGTGTCTCTGTGTGTGTGTGTCTACACGTGTCTCTGTGTGTGGTGTCTACACGTGTCTCTGTGTGTGTGTGTCTACACGTGTCTCTGTGTGTGTGTGTCTACACGTGTCTCTGTGTGTGTGTGTCTACACTGTCTCCTGGGTGTGTGTGAGGTCTACACGTGTCTCTGGGTGTGTGTGTGTACACGTGTCTCTGTGTGTGTGTGGTCTACACGTGTCTCTGTGTGTGTGTGGTGTCTACACGTGTCTCTGTGTGTGTGTGTGTGTCTACACGTGTCTGTGTGTGTGTGTGTGTCTACACGTGTCTCTGTGTGTGTGTGTGTCTACACGTGTCTCTGTGTGTGTTGTGTGTCTACACGTGTCTCTGTGTGTGTGTGTGTCTACACGTGTCTCTGTGTGTGTGTGTGTGTCTACACGTGTCTCTGTGTGTGTGTGTGTGTCTACACGGTCTCTGTGTGTGTGTGTGTGTCTACACGTGTTTGTGTGTGTGTGTGTGTGTCTACACGTGTGTGTGGGTGGTGTGTCTACACGTGTGTGTGTGTGTGTGTGTCTACACGTGGTCTCTGTGTGTGTGTCTACACGTGTCTCTGTGTGTGTCTACACGTGTCTCTGTGTGTGTCTACACGTGTCCTGTGTGTTGTCTACACGTGTCTCTGTGTGTGTGTGTGTCTACACGTGTCTCTGTGTGTGTGTGTGTGTCTACACGTGTCTCTGTGTGTGTGTGTGTCTACACGTGTCTCTGTGTGTGTGTGTGTGTCTACACGTGTCTCTGTGTGTGTGTGTGTCTACACGTGTCTCTGTGTGTGTGTGTGTCTACACGTGTCTCTGTGTGTGTGTGTGTCTACACGTGTCTCTGTGTGTCTACACGTGTCCTGTGTGTGTGTGTGTCTACACGTGTCTCTGTGTGTGTGTGTGTCTACACGTGTCTCTGTGTGTGTGTGTGTCTACACGTGTCTCTGTGTGTGTGTGTGTCTACACGTGTCTCTGTGTGTGTGTGTGTCTACACGTGTCTCTGTGTGTGTGTGTGTCTACACGTGTCTCTGTGTGTGTGTGTGTCTACACGTGTCTCGGTGTGTGTGTGTGTCTACACGTGTCTCTGTGTGTGTGTGTGTCTACACGTGTCTCTGTGTGTGTGTGTCTACACGTGTCCTCTGTGTGTGTGTGTCTACACGTGTCTCTGTGTGTGTGTGTCTACACGTGTCTCTGTGTGGTACGTGTCTCTGTGTGTGTGTGTGTCTACACGTGTCTCTGTGTGTGTGTGTACGTGTGTCTACACGTGTCCCTCTGTGTGTGGTGTGTCTACACGTGTCTGCACGTGTCCCTGTGTGTGGTGGGCATCATCATCACCGTGGTCTCTACTGCTAGACTGGACACTGCTGGTGATGGTCTCTACCCTGTGTGTGTGTCTACACGTGTCTCTGTGTGTGTGGTGTCTACACGTGTCTCTGTGTGTGTGTGTCTACACGTGTCTCTGTGTGTGTGTGTCTACACGTGTCTCTGTGTGTGTGTCTACACGTGTCTCTGTGTGTGTGTACGTGTCTCTGTGTGGTGTGTGTACGTGTCTCTGTGTGTGTGTGTGTGTCTACACGTGTCCTCTGTGTGTGTGTGTGTGTGTCTACACGTGTCTCTGTGTGTGTGTGTGTGTCTACACGTGTCTCTGTGTGTGTGTGTCTACACGTGTCTCTGTGTGTGTGTGTGTCTACACGTGTCTCTGTGTGTGTGTGTGTCTACACGTGTCCTCTGTGTGTGTGTGTCTGCACGTGTCCCTGTGTGTGTGTGTGTGTCTGCACGTGTCCATGTGTTTGTGTGTGTGTGTCTGCACGGTCCCTGTGTGTGTGTGTGTCTGCACGTGTCCCTGTGTGTGTGTGTGTCTGCACGTGTCCCTGTGTGTGTGTGTGTGTGTCTGCACGTGTCCCTCTGTGTGTGTTGTGTCTGCACGTGTCCCTGTGTGTGGTGGGCATCATCATCACCGTGGTCTCTACTGCTAGACTGGACACTGCTGGTGGATGGTCTCTACCCTGTGTGTGTGTCTACACGTGTCCCCTCTGTGTGTGTGTGTCTACACGTGTCTATGTGTGTGTGTGTCTACACGTGTCTATGTGTGTGTGTGTCTACACGGTCTCTGTGTGTGTGGTGTCTACACGTGTCTCTGTGTGTGTGTGTGTCTACACGTGTCTCTGTGTGTGGTGTGTGTCTACACGTGTCTCTGTGTGGTTGTCTACACGTGTCTCTGTGTGTGTGTGTGTCTACACGTGTCTCTGTGTGTGTGTGTGTCTACACGTGTCTCTGTGTGTGTGTGTCTACACGTGTCCTCTGTGTGTGTGTCTACACGTGTCTCTGTGTGTGTGTTCTACACGTGTCTCTGTGTTGTGTGTCTACACGTGTCTCTGTGTGTGTTGTGTCTACACGTGTCTCTGTGTGTGTGTGTGTCTACAGTGTCTCCTGTTGTGTGTGTCTACACGTGTCTCTGTGTGGTGTGTGTGTCTACACGTGTCTCTGTGTGTGTGTGTGTCTACACGTGTCTCTGTGTGTGTGGTGTGTCTACACGTGTCTCTGTGTGTGTGTGTGGTCTACACGTGTCTCTGTGTGTGTGTTGTCTACACGTGTCTCTGTGTGTGTGGTGTCTACACGTGTCCTCTGGTGTGTGTGTGTCTACACGTGTCTCTGTGTGTGTGTGGTCTACACGTGTCTCTGGTGTGTGTGTGGTCTACACGTGTCTCTGTGTGTGTGTGTCCTACA